TTTTTATTTAGAATTTATAATAAAAAATTAAATTTAATCTATTAAAAGTACCTTTTATAATCTAAACTAAAAAAAGAAAAGTATCCTGTGTTAGTTTGTAGGATTGATTTTTTTTTTTTTTGGTACATAGTTTGTAGGATTGATTGATGAGAACGAACAAGTTAGAAGGCTAAATGTAAATTCCAGCTGCTAGTGCTACTGTTGCCAAAATCTAATCCAACGAACAAAATGGACACAGCAAAGGCAACAAGTCAACAACTACTAGTAAATGGACGAGCAAACAACAAGCGGAAGCGAACCAAGGGGAACAGAACACAGCACCGACTCTTTTTTTCTCTGTACCACACCACAGTGAGAAACCAACAAAGAATTTTTTTTAAAAAAAGGTGCTCAGGTGACTCTTCCAATATACGCCGGCGGGAGAAGAAGATATGGATATCCTGAAGGATGACGTGGTGACTATTAGACCGCCGAAGGAAGAAGGAGGCCCTCATGTTATCACCGTGAACTGCCCTGACAAAATTGGATTGGGATTGGATTTGTGCCGTGTCTTGCGTGTCTTTGGTCTGAGCATTGTTAAAGGAGGTAAGCCAACGATAGAGTCTATCTATTTGTGTTTTTCTCAATTTTTTTAGGGGAAATTATTTCAATTTAGAAGAAATTCGGTTTGTGATGTTTCAAATTTTTAGAAAGATCTTTCTTTTCCTATTTTCTTTGTAGAAGGGTTTTTTTTTTTTAATTCAATAAAAATGATGGGAATTTGAGCTTTTAGTCAAATTTGAAGAAAAAAAAAAAATCTTGCGGGATTTTTGAAATTTTAATTTGATTTTGAGAAGTGAAGAGTGTTGGCTATTTTTGATATGATTTTCTATCTTTTTGTGCGTAGATATATGTACAGATGTGACATGGTGCTACATAATTTTTTGGGTTGTGACCAAATCGTCTGAAAAATGGGGTTCATCAAGATGGGAATTGTTGAAGAAGAGATTGATGGATGCATGCCCTTCCTGCTACTCAGTTTCTGGGATTTCCTATTACTGTTCAGAATTGCAGTCACCAGAGCCTCCTGATGTGTTTATGCTGAAGCTTTGTTGTCATGATAGAATAGGGCTTTTACACGGTACTTATTTTGTTCTTTTTCTCCCTTTTTATTTTGTTTTCTGGGTTAGGTGTTCAATTCTTTTTTAGGTACTCTTGATTTGTAAAAAGTTTTCACCCTTATTTACATAATTATTCATTTTGATCTTCTAGTTTGTGTTCTCAACTTTGCATAATTGTTCGAATATTATAGGGAAAAAGAACATGATATCCAATCTATCCATTCAGAATTCATATCAAGCATGAAGGGATGGTCTTTTGCATCTTCTTCGTTGCATAAAGTCTTTTGATTGTGATAGGGGTGTTTTATTGAAGAATTTGCATACTGAAATGTTCACAATAGTGCAACAAAATTAAGTGTTAGAGGTTTCTCTTGGCAGATGTGGCAGGAGTTCTCTGTAAGCTTGAGCTCATTATAAAGAAAATGGAGATGTCTACTACCCCAAATGGGAGAGTCATAGACCTATTCTTCATTACAGACACCAGGTTTTGCTTCGTTGTTATGATCTCCCTAAAATTATACTATGCAGTTATCTTTGACAACTGGTATCATTCTCATTGAAGTTGTTAATATAATAGTGCTGCCGATTTTACATTATGGTCATTAACTGTGATCTATTAGTTTACTTTAAAATGACTGAAAATTCACCTGGAATCGCAATAACACTAGGGTACAGGTTTAGTCTGTTTGCTGGTCAAACTACAAAAAGACTTACATAAATGCAAGCATTTGTGTACATATAGGAGAATTCTTAGTGTTAGATATAGAAGAAGCCGGGTAATTAATCTCTACGCTTCTCTTTCTACAATTACTCTTTGAGAGCATCTCTCTTTAAAATATTGAGTATTGCTGACTTGAGCGTTGGAGTGTTTTCCCCGAGGAAACAACCTCGGGATTTTCAGGTGTAGAATCAGTTAAGGACTTCAACAATGTTGGACTGCGAAGCTGCCCAAACATTTGGCGCCGTCTGTGGGAAACCGAACAAGGAGTCGTGTGGCTTAACTTGCTGAAAGATAATATGGTTCGTACCTTTACAGGAGGCCGCCCTCCAAGAAATGAAATGGACGAACAAGAGGACACTCATGTATCTGAACCCGGCTTGAATGACTTTAGGCCAATGCCAAGAAATCTTTTCGTAGGAGGAGCTGAACAGGATCACCTAAGCGAGATAGATGATGAAAGGACACCAACTGGGTATGCGACCCAACCTGAACAGTTCCAAGTTCCAATAGGAACAAGACAAAGATCTGCTAGACCGTGCAATTCACGACGTGAGCGACCTGAAAGGTCAACAGAACTTGCTCGGACAACCGAGCTCGAAGAAAGAACCAGAGTTCTCGAAATGGCAATGGGTAAAATCCTTGCCCGTTTAATTCCTGATGACCCCCTGATTCCTTTGCTGAACAGAGATGCACAACCGGCTGCGGTTGTTGCAACTCGAAACTCCCCCGCTCTCAGCAACATAGTAGTGCCGACCAGGCCAAGGGGAAGCGGGAAACTGAATATTGAGCCCAGCTCGTCCAAACATAGTGAAGAATTGATGAGAAAGAACGCAGACCTTGAAAGACAGCTGCGGGACGTGCAAAAGTCTATTGACGAGTTGAAAAGCCCCAGGTCGCATCAACAGACTCTGGATTTGGATAGTGCACCACTAAACTTATCCATTACGGCAGAGCCATATCAAGAGGGATTCAAAATTCCCCACTTGGAGACATATGATGGCTCGGGTGACCCTGATGAACATCTGCACACCTATCAAGCCATCATGAGAATACAAAATGCCAATGATGCCATGATGTGCAAAGTGTTCCCTACGACACTGAAATCAACAGCCAGAAGATGGTATCACAAGCTTCCCAGGCATTATATAGACTCATATTCTCAGCTCGCCAAGCTATTCTCCAACAAATTCGCGAGCCAGAGGGAGATCAAATGCACAGCGACCGTGCTGATGCAAGTTAATCAAAAGGAAGGGGAATCTCTGAGATACTACATGCAGCGATTCAACAAAGCCACTCTGGACATTGACAATGTCCCAGACACCATCTGCCTGTCTGCATTGCTGCATGGCTTGAAGCGTGGTCGGTTCCTAGACGACCTGCTAGAGAACCCACCCAGGACTTGGAACGAAGTGAATGACATGTCGGCTAGCTTCATATTGTCCGAAGATTTTCAATCTTCTAAGAGACGAGCCGATGACAAGCAAGGAAAAGAGCTCAAGCAGCCTGAAAACAAAGATGACAAGAAGAAACAGAAGGTCAGCGAGCAAAGAGGGAAACCGCCTTCCTTTCCAAAATATGACAGCTACATTCCCCTGAGCTCGTCACGATCCCAAATATTGTCGCAGATACAGCACTGGGTCAAGAGACCCCCTCCACAAACACACGACTCCTCACGAGCTGACAGAAGCAAATACTACGATTATCACCGTGTCTACGGCCATAACACAGAAGACTGTCAGAGTCTAAAGGATGAGCTCGAATTTTTGGCTCGCAATGGAAAATTGGAGGGGTATATACAGAAGCCTTTTGTTCGGCAACCCACCCAGACCCATTTTGTACAAGAGTACGGCCGACCTCAAGCACCTGGATATCAGCTCAGTAACAATCCAAATTCTTACCAGGCAGGTCCGTACTCATCAGAACCGAACAGAGTATATAGGGGACGCCCGTTCAATAAGAGTGGGCAAGGACAGAAAGCACCTGCACAAAATTCAAAAGATCACAGAGGGGTTGGGTATGGAGGAATACCCCCTCCATCTGGCACAATCAATATGATCTTTGGTGGAATGCACTCAGGAGGCCAGAGCTCCCGGGCCCACAAGGCATATGCCCGCCAGGTGATGACAGTCAACAAAAACAGGCCCTTGAAGCGACCGTTCGAGGAGGCGGAGTGGGAGAATGCAGCTATCACATTCAGCCCGGCAGATTATAAGCGAGCAGACGGAGAGCCCGACGTTATGATGCCTCACGCAGATCCATTTGTCGCAATGGTCCATATAGGTAATCATAATGTCAACAAGGTCTTTATTGACACGGGCAGCTCACCTGATATCTTTTATTGGAGCTGCTTCCAAAAGATGCAATTGAATCCAAGCTCGTTACAAAAATATGAAGGGCCAATTTATGGGTTCAATAATCAGCCCGTCCCAGTAGAAGGAGTCATCACCCTTCCCATCTATGTGGGCTCAGAACCACGGTTCAGGATGGCTTCCGTTACCTTCCTGGTCATCAAGATGGAGTCCGCTTTCAATGCTATACTGGGAAGAGCCACCCTGTGCGAGTTGAAGGCTGTTATCTCACAACCCCATCTCTGCATGAAATTCCCAACGCCTCAGGAGGTAGGTGTGCTGAAGGGGAATCAGAAGATGGCAAGGGCATGTTACCAAGATACATTTAAGAAGGTTGAGCTCGCTGAAGCCCCGAGAGTCTCTGAGAATAGAAGGTCGACTCAGCCCGGCCAACAAACAATGAGCATATCGGACATTGAGCATAGACCTGAGGGTGTCGAGCAGAAAGCAGAGCCGGTAGAGCCAGTAGAAACCGTTCTTTTAAACCCTGATGTGCCGGAAAGAACAGTCAAGATCGGCACCAAGCTCACAAAAGAAGAGCGAGCAGAGCTCTTGGAATTTTTGAGGGTCAATCAAGACGTGTTCGCGTGGACTACAGATGAAATGCCTGGCATCCCAGCAGAGTTGACAGTCCACAAACTCAGCACGGACCCCACCAAAAGGCCAGTGGTACAGAAGCGTCGCCTTTTTGGCCCTGAGAAGCAGGCTGCTATAGATAAAGAAATACAAAAGCTACTACAGGCAGGTTTCATCAGGAGAGTGGAATACTCTGAGTGGGTGTCTAACCCTGTGCTCGTCAAAAAACCGAATGGCAAGTGGAGGATGTGTATTGACTTCACCAACCTAAACGATGCGTGTCCAAAAGACCCGCATCCCTTGCCAAATGTTGAGAAGATAGTAGAGCGGGCAGCCAGACATGAGCGGATGAGTTTTCTTGACGCCAGCTCAGGTTATCATCAGGTTCAGTTGCTGTTGGACGACTAAGAGAAAACAGCCTTCTACGCTGGTGACGCTATCTATTGCTATGTGATGATGCCGTTCGGCCTAAAAAATGCTGATGCTACATATCAGAAGCTGGTACAAATCATCTTTAAGCTCCAGATCGACAGAAACATAGAAGTGTATGTGGATGACATGATAGTCACCAGCGTGCGAGTTGAGGACCATATAGACGACCTGAATGAGACCTTCCAAAATTTGCGCCGAGCCCAAATGAAGCTGAACCCCTTAAAGTGCACGTTCACTGTAGAATCAGGAAAATTCCTAGGGTACGTGGTATCCAAGAAAGGAATTGAAGTGAACCCGGAGAAGGTTCTAGCCGTTCAGCAGATGGAGCCTCCCAAGACTGTAAAGGATGTGCAGCGCCTAACAGGTCGTGTAGCCACGTTGCACAGATTCATAGCCAGGTCGGCGGAAAGGTGCCTACCATTTTTCAAAGCCTTATGAGAGCCCAAGCACTTTCAATGGACTGACGAGTGTCAGCGCGCATTCGACAAGCTCAAGCAGTATCTGGCATCTGCACCCTTGCTATCCAAGCCTGCGGAAGGGGAGAGTTTATACCTATACCTGGGGGTTACGAGAGAGGCAGTGAGCTCGGTCCTGCTCAGGGAAAAGAATAAAAGTCAGAAGCCTATCTGCTACGTAAGCAAGGTTTTACAAGGTGCAGAATAGAACTACCCGATAGCAGAAAAGGCTGCCTTTGCCCTGGTTTACACAGCTCGTAAGTTGAGGGCTTATTTCCAATCACATCAGGTTGTTGTCTATACCGACTTGCCAAAAAGAAAAATACTGCAGAAACCTAAACTCTCTGGTCGGCTTATTGGGTGGAGTGTTGAGCTGAGTGAATATGCCCTCAAATTTCGGCCACGCACGACCATAAAAGGCCAGGCCGTTGCAAACTTCCTGGTGGAGTGCATCTCAGCAGCTTAGGAAGAAAAAGCACCCGAACACCCAACTTGGGTTTTGTATGTTGATGGAGCAGCTAACATTGAAGGGTCGGGTGCTGGGGCTGTGTTAGTGGGCCCAGATGGCTTCAGGTCTAAGTACGCCCTGAGCTTTAAGTTTCAGACGACTAATAACACTGCAGAATACGAAGCCCTCATTTACGGACTGAAGCTGGCGTCCGAGCTGAAGGTACAAAGCATTCAGGTTTTCAGCGACTCTCAGCTCGTTGTGGGCCAGGTGAATGGCAGTTGTGAAATCAGGGATCCTCAGCTCGGTCGTTACGCCTTTGTGGTCAACAGATTGAAGTCAATATTTGTCATTTTCCAAATTGATAAAATACCAAGAGCAGATAACCACCGAGCTGACGAGCTGTCAAAGTTGGCCTCCTCGCAGGACCTTAACCCTCAAAGATCGACAATTGTCGAGATACTCGACGCACCGAGCTACACTGATTCCACAGTCGAGTGTCAGCTGCTAAGCACAGATCCCTCTACGCCGAGCTGGACCACCCCGCTCATAAATTATCTGCAAAGTGGCGAGTTACCTGAAGATCAATCCGCTGCAAAAGTGATTAAATGTAGAGCGGCACATTTCACTTTGTTAGATAACCAGCTCTACAAACGGGCTCTACAAACGGGCAGCCTCTATGCCCCTATTACGCTGCCTTACTCCTTACGAAGCTGAATACGCTGTGAGGGAAGTTCACGAAGGAGTATGTGGCATGCACATAGGTGGCAAAACTTTAGCTCGGAAACTCTTGAGGCATGGTTATTACTGGCCCACTATGGTCGAGGACGCGCAGAACTATGTCAAAAAATGTCCGACCTGCCAGTTCAATGCTGATGATATACACATGCCAGGTATCTGAGCCTATTCTAAAGATCATGCAAACTTCCTGTTTGTCTATAAACTTAGCATAAATATCTTCCTTGAAACAGGGGAAATGCTATCATCTCTCACGTTTCCCTGGCCCTTTACTCAATGGGGTGTCGACCTGCTCGGCCCTTTCATCAAAGGCAAAGGAGGCTGCACTTTCCTAGTCGTTGCAGTGGATTACTTCACTAAGTGGATAGAAGCTAAACCATTGTCTACGACAACAGAAAAGAAAATAGAAGAATTCTTGTTCAATTCAATATTGTGCAGGTATTCTTTGGTAGCTTAGACCATTCGTACATTGTGAATGCAATTTGTGGCTTAGCTCGGTCATCTATGTGCAGGTTCGGCATACCCAAGTGGATTATCGTCGATAATGGGCCACAGTTCCGAGCAGCAACACTGAGATCGTTCTGCAATGATTATGGCATTGAGCTCTCCTTGACGTCTGTGTATACCCCCCAGTCAAATGGACAGGCCGCGTCTGACAATAAGATCGTCCTGCGAGGCCTCAAGACTCGTGTTATAGCTGCATGTTCTAATTGGGTTGACAAACTCAATAAAGTACTTTGGTCATGTCGCATGACACCTAGCTCGGCCACAGGCGAAACCCCATTCAGCTTGGCATATGGAGCTGAGGCCGTCATCCCTGTCGAAATCAGGTTGCCATCTGCTAGATCAGATCGTCATGACGATCAGAATAATGGGCAACTCTTAAGAGAGAACCTGGACCTAGTGGAGGAAGTTAGGGAATTGGCTCGAATTAGAAACATGGTGCATCAAAGTCGTGTTGCAAAATTTTATAATAATAGGGTTCGAGCTCGACAGTTTCAGGTCGGCAATCTGGTTCTGCGCAAGGCTGGATTAACTAATACCTATTCGCATATGGGCAAGCTCGCTCCTAATTGGGAAGGCCCTTATATGGTTATTAATATTAAGCGACCTGGGTGTTATCAACTAGCAGATTTACAAGGTCGTCCGTTGTCATTCATCTGGAACATACACAACCTTAGAAAGTTTTACAGTTAACGCCTTGGTGTTATTGTCTTAATTCAAATTATCCTCAATCAAATGTAAAGAGCAATGTGTGGAACGGTACATAGCAATATATATAGAAATTGTGAAATAAAATATTCAAATTTGTATTGCATCAATGAATTTTTACATATGTGGTACATATGGTGAATAAGTTCATTGATTAGCATAAAAATACAAAAAGAAATACAAAAAGAGAACAAAAAATCCTAAGCTAGTCGTCCGTCAGGTCGACGGGGATGGATGCGTTGTTAGGCTCTGTCGTAGACTGAGCAGGAGATGGCCGATTTGGAGAAGGAGCAGAAACAGCGGCCGTAGCGGGCAAGGTTGAGGCTGAGCAGGAGGAGTGCTGGAAGGTTCAGCAGACACATCATGGGGGTTTGCCACCCAAGCGTCAAAACTTGGTAACCCCTCCGTATCCTCCCCCTCTTCAATCACAGAGGGGGGCCACACGGGTAGCCCCTCCTCGTTCAGCTTCCATCTCAGCCTCACCCAGGTGTCTGCTGGCGGGGCGAGGCTCTTTCCTTCTTCGTTAATCTCCTCGCCTTCAAAAAACGCCAACTCGCCGATGGGAAAATCAGCCCGCACTTACAGCACCTTCCCACGAACCTCGTTGAAAATGTCCGTGGTAGTGTTAGCAGAGGCAACTGCAACGGCGTCCTAGAACATCTCTGCTCCCACCAGCCATTCAGCCCCCTGTGCGCAAGCAAAGCAGACGTCGCGCTGGTGAGCCCTCTTGGTGCTTTCCAGGGACGCCTCAGCTTGGGCGACATGCTAGTCGGCTTGCACCACCCTTTCCCTCAGGGAGCTCAGCTCGTGCAGAGTCTTCTCTCTGTTAGACTCCGCTTTCTTGGCCCGTTCCTCTACACGGCCGAGCTCCTCCTTGGCAGCTTGGATGCCACTTTCCTTCTCCACTCGGGCCCTCACGAGCTCATCCTTCAACTCGTCAACCTTACGGGCCAGCTCGTCAGCTCGGCTTTCAACTGATGCCGCTCGGTCTGCCATCTTTGAGCTCTGCAGACGACTGACCTCGTCAGCCAAACTGGCTTTTTCAGTGGCTAGTTGTTTGCAGCTTGTCTGGAGCTCGTTGTTTCGCACTCGGGCTCCCTGCTCGCACTCAAACAGCGCGACAGTGTAGTTGAACGCCTACAACACGTGTTCACTCGTCAGTTTATAGCAAAAACATGATAAAATACAGTAATGAGCTCGGCAAGTGTACTTACATCCATCAGCTTGATCAGCGCAGCATGTCCCCCATGCTGCTGAATGTGCCCTTTCACACGCAGCCGGTCTGCGAGGGGCACAAAGTTCTACATACCCTGCAGCATGGCAGCATGGCATTCAGTTCGTACGTAATTGAAGCCGTCTGGGTATGCAATCCTGGGCCCCGCCACAGATGACGAGGCCGGCACTTGCTCGGCGACCTCACGAGCAGGAGCTGGGGGCACGTTGCCAGGTCGTGCAGCAACGGCCGAAGCTGGCTGCGAGCCGGCACTTGTCCTCCGTCGGGTAAGAGGAACGTCGTCCTCTGCATCGAAATCCTCCCGTACGCGCCTTCTTGCGCTTAAGGACGTTGGTTCTGGTCGTTGCTCGACACGCGGCCTATGTGCCGAGTTGGAACCCCAGTGCTGGGAGATGCGCCCCGGTGCAGCTGGTGGCCGCTCGTCAAAGCGAGACTGGCGTTGGGAACCGGACCCAGCTCCTCGATTCCTAGAGCCTTGTGCTCTCTGATGTTGCCTCTCAAGAATGCTGCTCATTTCTCCTGCACAAACAAAAGCATAAGACTCAGATCGGCTAGAAACTATGCTATTATATAAAGATATACCTTGAGAGTGTAGATTTGCCACGTCGACAAATCCGTGAACTGCGATCTGCTCCGGGGTAACCAAGGTTTCCAAATCCACCAACCCCCTCGCTTTCACATAATCGAGCAGTCGGTTCTTCAGGTCAACATCACCACTGGTCATCTGGGGGTAGTTCATGTATGTGTTCGGCGTACGCCACTCTGACAGACGGGCGGTGAGCTCGTTGTTAATCCTGTCAGTTCGCGTATCCCGCACGAACACAAATTGTCTTTTCCACCTCGCTACCTTATTTCTAATGTTGGTGAAGATCATCATCTTCTCCTTGCCCGAGATGTAGTACCACCTCGTCCCACTGGTGGACGGGCACAAACGGCACAGAAAGAGCGACCTAAAGACCACCGCCTTTGCAGGCATCCCCAGCCTTTCGCACAACAGCATAAAGCCTATGATGAACTTTATGCTGTTGGGAGTAAGTTGCGAAAGGGTCAGCTCGTACTCTGCCAGGACATCAAAAATTAGTCCGGGCAGAGGAAAACATAGATCGGCGTCAAAATGGTCTACGTATACTAGCACCCAGCCCGTCCGCGACACTAAACACGCCCGTTCATTTGGTGTCCCAGCTCGGATCAGGATGGTCCTGGGGATATGAAATCGCCTCACCATCTCCTCCAACTTCTTGTACCCCTTCACCATGGCCGCGCCATCTGCAACCTCATGGTGCAGCACCTCCCTGAACTTGAAGCTAACTGGCAGGGTTTTGGGAGCCTTACGAAGGTTATCCAGCCTCCCACTGAGAACCTTGCTCTCCCACCCTTTGAACACCACCACCTCTGCTGCTGCACTTGTTACCGGCGCACTGCAACCAACCTCCTCAACGCCCTCCGCCCCACTAGCTGTCTCTTCCGTGGATGAATCACTGGAGGTTGAAGACTGGTGGCCCTCAGAGCCACCACTTACGCTCGAACTGGCGTTACCCTCAGGCGTGGCGGTTCTGGGTGAATCCTACAACTCCAGCGGCACTATCATCGCGATAGGCTCCACGGATATCACGTCAACATCCTCCTCTTCACCTTGGTTACCCCGGAACTGTTGTGCATCATGGAAAGAAGCCATTTTTACCTGAGTAGTTGAAGTTTAAAATGTTGGAAATCTGGAAAAAGGGTCGTGAACGTCTCTGCACTCTTCTCTGAAAACGTACAAATGTGCTTTGCAAGGAAAGGAAAAGAAATGGCAAACTGTTGTTTATTTTGGCCGTTCAGATGGTGCTCCGTAAACACCGTACGCGTGTTTACGGCCCCCCAGTTAAACGTGTCCACGTGGCAACCATTTACGGTTAAAAACCCAAAATGCGTCATTTGCAGCTGTCACGTCCCTTCGAATGCTGAGCCAGCATTTATTGCGGGAGGCAAAAGGGTATCTATTAAAAGCAGAAGAATACCAAATCTCTTCAGAGATTCGCCACAATCGTTGAAAATCAAAGGATCAGATCGCGACAAACTTCAATGATCAGCTCGTAACAAATTCGAGACTTAGGCAAATCTCCTCGAAGATTCGCCGCAGTTTAAATTTTAAAATCTTGAGAAATCAGCTCGTTTCTAATTCGAAGTCTCTTCAGAGATTCCCAATCCGAGATGGTTTTAAAAACCAGGTCGTAACGAATTTGAGGTTCACTTTGGTTTTGAACAATCAAACGCTAGATTGTAACCACCTCCCTCACGAGGGAGGTCGTTCGTCTCGACCTACCTAGGCTCGGTCCTATCTGCTCGCTCCCGCTTTGCTACAGAGAATTCGTTATGTAAGGTCATGCTGGTGCGCCTGCTCGACCCTCCAATTAGCACCGAGCTCGACTGGCTTTAACACCAGCCCACCACGCCTGCTTGGTAACAGGCCGTCATACATTTGCACATCCGGCCAGGCACGGTGTCGTCAAGCCGTTAAGGTCGGCCATGCGTGAGGTCGTTCGTGGACATAAAACATCACCCCTCATCTTTAGGGTCAAACACCAGGCTGACAAGACTCTCCATCCAGTTCGTCAACTGAACACTGAGGGGGGAGTAATGTTGGGAATAGGCCCAACACCCACTTTGGGCCACATATGGCAGGCCCAACTACACACTCACAGACCCAAAAGGAGGAGACAGACTCACATGGGCAGCACCACGTGGGCCAATGAGTTATTTACATGTGTCGATGCATGTCAGTAGTTGGGGGTATAAATACCCCCCAACTACCAACAATGAAGGTAATTAATCTCTACGCTTCTCTCTCTGCAATTACTCCTTGAGAGCATCTCTCTCTAGAATATTGAGTATTGCTGACTTGAGCGTTGGAGTGTTTTCCCCGAGGAAACAGCCTCAGGATTTTCAAGTGTAGAAGCAGCTAAGGACTTCAACAGTGTTGGACTGCGAAGCTGCCCAAACAGGAAGCAATTGGAATCTTTGGGGCGTAAGAGGAAAGAAGGACAAGACTTGACGTGCACTGGCGTGCAGTGTTACAGAACGGCGTTCATAATAATCACGGCGGTAACATTTTTCGGGTGCGTCGTTTCTTTAATTCTGGTTCTCAGGACCAGGAAATTTTACAAAAGTGATATTTATAAGAAATTCAGGGAAGATGCTAAAGCGGCAGAAATTGGCATGACTTCCCATGGACATGGCCGTGACGGGGGAGTTCCGACGGAGGAAGTTCAATCTAGAACTACCGCACCTACTGCTGTCGCCACAAGCACCACCACTGACTAACGAAGTAGTTATAAGTTGCTTTAGGTTTTTTTTTTTTTTGGTAAAAGTTGCTTTTGGTTTGAGTGGACTAGTTTAGACAAGGGTGGGTTCGAACCAAAGTAGTAAATACTGTATCGATATGCGTATAAGTTTTGTTATTGAAACGGTACGTATCAGATATTGAAATTTTTCGTGTACCGTTTTGGATTTATCGTTATAAATATATATATTTTTATAAATTAAATATCAAATTTTAAAATAATATAAGAGA